TATATATATATATATATATATATATATATATATATATATATATATATGAGAGAGAGAGAGAGAGAGAGCCACAGAGAGAGAGAGAGAACCACAGAGAGAGAGAGAGAGAGCCACAGAGAGAGAGAGAGAGAGAGAGCCAGAGAGAGAGCCACAGAGAGAGAGAGCCACAGAGAGAGCCACAGAGAGAGAGAGCCACACGAGCATTAAATAATATTTGCGTTACTTTTCTTCTCTTATTAGAGTCTACGCTTCTTGATCTTGACAGTCAAAGTAATGTGAATATTTCCAAGTTGTTATCAATTGTAATTGAAGTAACTGAAAGTGCTAATTTAAATAGTTCGTCTCTCATCTCCCATGAAAAGTAGGCCATTGACCTGAAGATATGCGTATAGGTAGATGACATATTATCGCGATGATAACCGTTTATGGACGAGTCGGTGGGTGCTTTCCATTTAGTGGCACAAGTCAACACTGACGTCGTTCTATCTTTCTTGGTATTCAACGAGTAACAAAAACAGAACGAGACTTGTGTCGACTTGTATCAGTAAATGGAAAACACTCAATGTAATGCAAAATTTCTAACTGACAGAGATAGAGAATGGATGTAACTCAACGCGTGATCTAGTCTGCTCTTTCATATTTCTGTGTGACACACGACCGAAATACATACATCCAAGAGGAGAAAGTTAGCCAAGCACACGTATTTTCGCTCACTTATAACATCTTGTAATAGTCAAAAGTTAATAATAATAATAATACGTGAGCGAAAATATCGAAGACTAAGATCGCGTTTAAGTAGTGTTGCATCTTGCATCGGTACGTTAACAAATAAAATATGCATAACAATATAATCACGTTGACGTTAGCGGTAAATAGTAGGGAACTAGCACGCGTTCACCGATAACTGTTTGCTGCGATCCAGCAAGTGCCGCATTTATCCTATTTTGTGATATAGAATCAATAATTATAAAATATACACGCGGTAACTTTTAAGGTGCTTATATAAGCTGACAAATTTTGCTCATTAAAATTTTGCAGTTATTTTCGTCGTTTGATTTTGACAGAAATCGCAGACTGTACTAAGATACGCTGTCGAGAAGGCCAAACTTGTTTATCCGAAATGAAGTCTGGACGACCACGTTGCGTGACCTGTACCTATCGTTGTCCCCGGAAACGGGAGCGCGCCCGGACTAGGGCGCATCGTGATAGAGGTCGAGATCGAGATCGAGATCAGGACCGGGATCGGGATCGAGATCCTTCAACAACTATGTTATGTGCGACAAACAACATCACCTACCCCAGCTGGTGTCACATTATCAAGGACGCCTGTATTACTGGCTTCGTTCTTGAAACACGGCACGCGGGTCCCTGTAACGCTTACGACACGGCCCCTCTTTATATCGGTGAGTTATTAGTTATATTAACAAAACTTGGCGTCATATGTCATGCACATAATGAAACTGCGGAGATTTTCCAAATCACCAACCTATATACACTTAAATTTGTAAACTGTCAAAGAAAAAAAATAATTAAGAAAAAAAAAGAGCGTTAGAGATTTTATTGAACTGTTGAAAAAAGCGCGATATACATTTCTCTGCGAGGTGAGTGAGTCACTCGCGTCATAAACGCAGAGTTGTACGCCGCTCTAGTTATACTTACAATTATCTAGTATGGAATGCGTGTTGCTCACACGCGAGTCGTATATATTCGATATGCGCCTATACGTATATATTGCCTGCTAAACGCCGTCGATCGTGAAAACATAGAGAAAGGGGAATATAAATATGTGAATTTTTCTAAAATTCAACAGCTTGACCATATTATATCTCGAATATCGATTTAAATTGATGATCATCGGTTTTCAACGATTTTATTTTATACGTTAAAGTTATATTATACGTATAAATATTGTGTGTTGAACATACTGGTCTATTGAAATTCTTATCTCTCAGCGATCCTTATTAAGTATCAATTAATAATCTACTGAAGATTACGAGACTTTCTTATCTTTTTAAAATGTTTGATCATCGATATCGAAAATGTGATAAAATTAATAAATAACGAATTTCATTGCAATCTATTACCATCGTCTAAACACGCTAATAAACAACTGTATTAAACTTCCCATTCCTTCTTCGTGGCCTCTTTTAGATTACGTACACGCAGAAACCTGTTGCACGTTGTATAGAAATAGAGAAGTATAGTAATTCTGCTACGCTTTTCGAATTAGTACCGCTGTGCCACGTGCGCGTTTCATGCGAATAATTTACTTTATGAGGTAATTATATTTACAATTTGCTCTTACTACGTGTCACACTGTATACCTACATTAATTTTATAATACTTTACAGAGTAAAAACACTTTGCCTTCTGCACGTTCGTAATACGTCTCGTATTACGAAGCGATATTTTTTACAGATAATTTAGTGTCGTTGAATGAAACAGCCGAAACTACAATAGTATAAATCGACTGTTCCCAGGAGAACAGAAATGTCAAAATGATGTCAATTTGACCAAAAAATGACGAAATTAACATCATTTTTTTGTCAATATGACATCAAATTGATATCATTTTGACATTTCTGTTCTCCTTGGGTTATATCATATAGACTAAAGCGGCATATTCCTTAAAAAAAAAAAAAAAATATATATATATATATATATATAAAACAAAAAACCGGGCATGCCCGCGGGGTAATCGCTTCTGAAACGATAGAAAACACGTCAAGTTCTCCAAGTCTGAATAAGATTGTACATAATTCATTAATGACTTCATTTAATATTATTTTCTCTCCTTATGCAGTTTCACAATTTATTCCTGTGCTCACGCGATAAACAATAATCTTGAAAAAAGTGCAAACGATTCTGATCATGATCGATGGTACGTGTAAAATCGCAGAGTATAATCATACTCATTCTCGTGTCACTTGATAAAAATATATACACATATAATATAAATATACGTGGCCTGAATGTGTATTAACCTTACGGTTATTAAAACAGCAAGAAGATGCGAATTTTCAAAGTTACCACGTTTAATTCAACATTCGCCAATATTTTGTTTATTATATTTCTTACAGAGGAGGACGACGCTTCGAGCAACTACGGGGTTGATCTGGCGGATGAAGATACAAAAGTGAGTCATGCGTACGCCAAATCTCCTTATGGCCTCCATTCCATACCATTCTCGTAGCTGTAATGTTTTCATAGTTTGAAAAGCGATATTCAACGAAAAGCAACGGATGACAGTAACGATTCTATTTTAGTTTAGAAATCTAATAGGTGCTCATGTTCACAACGACCTGATGGAGGAATAATGAAGCGTGAATTTAGAGAATCGATATCAATGCGCGATGTATCCATTATTTCTTATTTGCGACAAATAGACGAGGCTCAACTCACAGAACTGAGAACGATTTAGCAAAATCATATTCTAGTTGCTTTAATTAAAAGCAAAATGGCAAAAGGAGGGTTATATCAAAATACTTGGAGACACTCACAGAAGACACTCGGTATTCTCCAAAAATGAAGAACCACTTGAGAAGCAGTTAGAAAACGGTTTATGTAACATAAACAATGTATTTATTTAACGTAAAAAATGTATTTATTTTAACTTTTAAGCTTTTATGAAATCTATATTATATAACTTAACCCACGATGCCATCATTCATTGTTTTCTCAACAGAAGAAGTATGGCGTAAATAAAGATCTCACACAATATTCCACACAAATTAAATGATCAGTCTTCTAAAAAGTGTACAATCACTTATCAACATATCGATAATTATATCGGCACGTGATTATTTCATCTTCCATTAATTGACACATTGGATTCCCTTGAGCTAACTATATCGTATGTATAGTTTGAGAATATGACGTGTAAGTGTATACGCATGTGTAGGTGTGGACACGTGCGTGTGTATATGCATGCATGCGTGCGTGCCTGCACGCGTGTATTAGTGTATCGTATGACGTATTATAAAATAATATAAACGACCATAGAACGCGTGTGATAATACTTCTAAGACGCTCGCTTCGAGAGATACATTTAATAACTCGGAACGAATAGCAGTCTTTCGTATTATATGTTAATAGTAGCAATACACCAAAATTTTCACCAAGATTGCGCATGATACAAATTTCAACAAGAATTTTAATAGCGGCTTTTTACGTAGTTACATTACAAATTAATGGTTTTTAGAAAATTTACATTCGACAATGTGAATAAATAGAATAAATAGAACTTTTCTAATTTTTCACGTACTGATTTTACTATTATACATTTTTAATTAGAGGCTTTACTATTCATTTAGCAAGATATTTGACAATAGAGTATTAAAAATTTCAAATAATAATATTAATACCGATCAAATTTTCGTTATAAAAAAAGTAGATGTTAAAATAAACAAATCAGCAATTTAATCCTACGGACTCTAATATATATTCCACGAAATACATATATTATTTTGTGTGTGTGTGTGTGTGTGTGTGTGTGTGTGTGTGTGTGTGTGTGTGTGTGTGTGTAAGTGTGTATGTGTGTGTACATACATATAAAATATATTGTATATTATATTATATTACATTATATTATACATGTTAGAAATCCTCTAATCTAATATATGCCAATGATAAATGTCGCGATACATTAACAAAATAAAAGAGTAACGTGTCTTTCTTTAATAGATATTTTGATGAAATAATAAGAATAAAAAATAGTCGGGAGAATATGACTTCGAGCATTATTATTACAAGTAGAAGAATAGCAGGTACATAATCGAATAATAAAATAATTAAGGATTCTTGATAATAATAAGAACATAAAAGAAAAATTGGCAATAAGAGAGTCGATGCGTCATTTTATAATAATTAATATTATGAACAACAAATAATATTAGATGAACAAAAACTTTTATTTTCCACACTATGAACATGTAACTTTCACATATAACCCTGTCTCTTTATCGTCCCTTCTCCCTCTCTCCCACCCTTCCTCCCCCCCCCCTCCTCTCTCTCAGCGGAATTAAACGAAGCATCATTAAAGTTATTCTAAAAGATGCACGTTTATAATATTCTTTGACATCCAAACCAATTAAATGGTCAATATATTACGTAAAACTTTCCATCTCAAGAGAGCTATAGCTGTTATTAATGTTCAACTGAATACTACGTGCGTTACAGTATCACAACATTCGGGGAAACGTACGTCATAACTTCATAAGATTGTAAGATTAGCACAAAACGCGAAAATGTCTCCCAAAAGTAGGATATTAGATAGACAAGCAACTTAATTGATATAAGTCAGTATTTATTATATACTTAATTGTGCACGACGAAAGATGATTGACACAGCGAACGTGTATGGACGATCGAAGATGGTTATGTCATATAACGAATCCTTATCAATTTACCACAAAAAAGAATTTTATAACGCATTACTAATTTTAATTGTTATACGCAATACGTAGTGTCCTTTCTATTTATTCGAAATAACAACACGTCGACAGTGTCCTCAGATGCGGCATCAGCTGACATCTTGAAAATCTGATCAATCTTGGATTCAACGTGCAAATAAATATATATATGTATATATTTTTTTATATTAATTTCCTATCTCTAGTTTAACCCTCTACACTCTTTTTCGGCACCCACTAACGATTCATATGGAAACGTTTGCGTCCGCGGCATATTAAACAATCTCTAAAACTTTACCAAAAATTCTGAAAAAATTCATATAGGTATTCCTTGAGATCTTAATTATAAGTTTAAACAATAATAATATTATAAAATTAATTTTGCACGTATTAATTTAATCGTTGAACCTTTGAAAAATATTACACAGTTAAAATGCCGAGGACGCACGCGACCCGCATGTGCAGTTGCAGGGTTAATAACGCATACTTTTGCTATATTAGCTTAGTGTTAGCCCTTATCGATGCAACAGACCGTACACGTTATATTTTTCACCTTACAGCCAGGTTTTTTTCGACGTGGGCATCATCGATCGTCCAAATGCTTCCGTCCTAGCCTTTACGTATAAATGGTATTTATGTAATAATATATAATCGTACTTAATTTATTTTAGTTTTATGAACAAATCTGGTTTTATAATCTATCAAGCGATTATTTTGCTCGAACCTATAATGTAAACATAAATCTGTTGGGAATGAAAATCAATGTAATCTTACTTGCTAGAACAATGAAAAATAAAAAATAGAAAATTGATAATATTAACTAAACGTTCAAAATTGAATAATTAAAATGTTGAAAAGTGTCAGTCGTGTAACATAGAAATTATTCGATTATCAATTGACAATCATTTCGAGTTTCTAGTGCTGTTAATTACAATTTGTGTCTTCATTCCCAATACTGATAATAGGTCATAACTTGGGAAGCGATAGACGTTGCGCGGAATTACCTGAGCAAATATCGAGATAATTAAAGTCAGATCAAGTCAAAATCGGTCATTACGCGACCACCGTATTAATATATAGATAAATAATGAGAAGCCAAAAACATGTGCTCTAATTTAAGGTAATACGATCGCGATTTTGCCTATGGCTAGGAACATATTATCAAATTGTAACGTGAACGAATCATACGTCACAACATAACTTTACACGTAAGAACGTACATAAAGCGATCATAAAGTAAACAAACTCCGAGATTCCGCGTGCATCTACAAAAGATGTAACAAATTTACGAGAAATGTCACACAAGCAGGATAATCTATTATTTTTAATGTCTAAGTTTCAAAATGCTTTATCTAGGCCATAACAAATTAATTAACTTATAAAAATATAGATGAATAAATATATATAAATATATACACAGACAGAGAGAAAGAGAGAGAGAGAGAGAGAGAGACTGTCATTAGAAAGTTTAGTTCAACGTCGGAAATATGTTTCTCATATAAAAGAAAAATGAGAAATATTCCATTTTATAATTATAATCTGGAAAAAAATTCCTTCTCACAGAACTATAAGACTCGAATTATTTTTGAAATTTGTCCAAACATTATTGAAATAACAATAAAACATTGTGCGAGGCTGTTCTTTTTCCTTTCTTTTTCTTTCACAAATATTTTCCTCCTTTTGACGTGAGAAATATGCTCTTAAAGTTAAGCCTACAAATTCATTGATCAACTTGAAATCTGTTTCTTTTGTCTTTTTTAAACTGCACATTAAAATTCTTTAAAATAAAACTCACATCCATTAAGAACTTAAATAGGTTTCTTTTTATTTTCTTTCATCATCTTTAAAGCTTTGACAAAAACTAGATAAATTTTCATAATTTCGAAACTTGGACGCATCAACACACAGTCACATTTGTATTAAGAAAAATATCGATCCTGACGTAGTCAAAGAATTCTCCGAGTATAAAATAATAAAATAGTAACACGTGTAATAATAGTAATAATGTCGGGCAACCATTGTATATAAAAAAAAAAATATATATATATATATACATACAAAATTGTGCTAAATGCACGTCAGCAATATGCCGAATTTATTATATATGTATGTACTATGTATGTGGTAAGCGAAACAATATTCTTTTCAGAAAAACGAGCAGATTTTGTTTTTAAATAAAAATCTAATAAAATCAGAAAAAATCTGTTAAAAATCAACATCTGAAAAAGGCACGAAATGTTATAATCCGTGCCCACACAGTAGCCCAGTGCCACTAGGCTATTCTGTAATTTGTTATGCTGTCGTTATGTGTTCAAAAGAATGTGGCTACAGATCTTATTTGAATCTAATCTAGATAACCTAGCGTCACTGCGATCCTAAATAGGGGGATCAGAAATCGAGTAAAATTCACAATCGAGTAAAATTCGCATTACATCAGATTAAAATAAAGGTTAATTTGAGACATTCTTACCTATACGATTACGAGTAGCGCCCGAGTTGTACGTACGTATTATACCTACCGTAATCTGTAAAAATACAAATGCAAAAATTATAAATTACAGTAGCACCTAAAATAATTAATATTTTTGAAAATAATTATTTCGCGCATCACATCAAAAGGTACGTATATATGTGGAAGGGTAAAAGCCACAGTGGTGTAAGTCAAACTTTTTATAAGATATTGGCGCTTGTATGCAATCTATACAATATATAAATTGCATAACCTATATATTTCACGAGCATATCATCACCATTATCTATATAGGTATACATATTATAACACGTGTTCCCCGAAAACTAACAAGTATCTTTTCTCCTAAAAATCCTCCCTTTTTTATACAAACAATCTAAATAAATAGAAATAACCGATTAATTCGGTTAATTTAAGTGTAATAAATAATAATCAATAATATACGTACTCGATGCTCGATGATCGCTGCCCGCTGGATGCTTGCATCTTCTTCTCTTCTCTTACTCTCGTTCCTTCTCGCAATGCGTCTTCTTCATAGCATCGTGACCTGCACACGCGTTATTATTATTATTATTAGTAGTAGTAGTAGTAATAGTAGTGTTTTATTATCATATACGCGAAAACATGGGTAATTATTATAAGTTGATTACAACCTCGCGCGTGTCCTAAAATATATATTTCTAATTTCTCATAGAAATACTTACACGACGATCGTTTTGCATAGCAAATTCTGTTTTTCCAACATATCGTATGTATGTACATACACACATACGTGACAAACACCTGTCATCGAATGTCATATGTCATATCATCGCGACGAAATGAGAATAACAAAAACTGAAAGTAATAGCGCGCGCGCGAGAAGAGAGAGAGAGAGGGAGAGAGCCATACCCGGCCGCGAAATCTAGCAAGTTACTAAGTTACTCTTGATTTCCATGGCATATATGTGGAATGCGCGTACGCGCGTTTCTGTCAATCAAATGGCGCACCAATAAGTACGTATTAACGCATGAAAACTAACGGTAAGAGTAACGAAAAGAGAATATGAAAATCGCGCGGACAATGCGGACAACGGACATCCACATCCACAACCACTACGGAGTACGGACTGTACGGAGTACGGAGTACAGTTTTCGGCGCGCGAATTCGCGGAATGCGACATCGGCGGCGGCCGGCGAAAATAAAAATCAATAATCGTGTTGCGTCGCCGGCGACGGCGACCATTGCGACCTGCGAGTGGAAAGTTACCGACAAGCGATCCAGCAGAAAACGTGTTAACACCTACACCCACGTTACAATATCAATAATACGCTATATAGCCCAAAGGTGGGGCTGAAGGCGTTTATAACTCCAACCGGAGTTAATAACCTCAAAAAAAAAACAATATCAATAGAGTACGTATGTATGCATGTATGTTTTCGTCTCTTCAGTGACATTTCAGCAGCAACCCGATTAATTTTTATCATTTAACTACATTCATCAACTACTCCTGTGTATACTCATACGGTAATTCTTCAGTTTATATACATATATATATATATATATTTAGACTTTACAGAGAGAGAGAGAGAGAGAGAGAGAGAGAGAGAGAGAGAGAGAACCTAACCTAACCTGAGAGCGGCCTGGGGGCCTGGGCCATCCCTTTGATCTTTCTGAAGAATCTGAAGCGCGGTGAAGCCGGCGGAAGGCGGAAGGTCGCCGTTTCAGCCTGCCCTGGCCGCCCTGGCCCTCTGAGAAAGTGGACGTCAACTATATAGTTCAAGTATATACTTCCGAGAAGAGTTTAGATTAGATGAGATGAATAGATGAGTTAAACACTAAAGTCAAGGATTGACAACGACACGCATCTCGAGTCTCGACCATGACGATGATGGACTATCTTCCATCCAGTCAATCCAGTGTATAGACATTCGGTGAATGGTGCGTCGACGTGGTTGAAAAGTGCAGTGCTCATTCTTAATTCGCAATATTCTCATTCGATTGGATTCGCTCTTGTAAATTTGTAATTTTGTGTGCACGTTTCGAAAATACGACACATACGTGTAATGTATACCTATGTACGGAATGATAAAACCGCCGCCGAGTGAAATCGAGTTTAATGTTGGAACTGTTGGAACTGTTGGAAGATAAGATTCGAATGCAATCCAGTCGCAGTCTATCGAGTCTAGGACGTGCGGGGGGCACCCACCACCCACTGTGCGGCAACCACTTTAGTCTGTGATATCTGTGCAGATCTGTGTAATCGAAAGCTAACCTAATACTATAGAAAAATTTGGGAAAAATCTAAAGCTTGAAGATGCATTTATTGACATCTTGTACGGCGACACTGATATCTCTTCTAGTATCGTGTAATACATGGGCGGTACGCATAGGTCTTTTTTGCATTTAATTCTTTAAGCAAACTTAAATTTTTATGGTTTTATGGTGTTTCCCCCGGACCAGACTGTTTATTACACTTGTTACATTTTTAGGTAGCGGATAACTTTGCGAAAACTGAACATTCCAACAATTGGGCAGTATTGGTCGATACGTCGCGTTTCTGGTTCAACTATCGACACGTTGCAAATGTTTTATCTATTTACCGAAGTGTCAAACGTTTAGGAATACCAGATTCACAAATTATTCTTATGATAGCCGACGATATGGCGTGCAATCCTAGGAATCCTAGACCAGCGACTGTTTTCAACAACATTAAGCAGCATATCAATGTTTATGGCGACGATGTGGAAGTCGACTATAGAGGGTACGAAGTGACGGTGGAAAATTTTGTTCGACTGCTGACTGGACGCTTAGCTCAGGAAACTCCAAGATCAAAAAAGCTATTAACGGACGAAGGTTCAAACATCTTAATTTATTTAACTGGCCATGGTGGTAATGGATTTTTAAAGTTCCAAGATTCTGAAGAAATCACTAGTCAAGAGTTGGGGGATGCGTTGGAGCAAATGTGGCAAAAACGAAGATACCATGAAATTTTATTCGTGGTTGACACTTGTCAAGCGAGTTCGATGTACGAGAAATTTTATTCTCCAAACATATTGGCGGTCGCTTCTAGCTTAGTAGGAGAAGATTCACTTTCTGTAAGTACACGTTTCTGCGGTATCGTTGTACGTGTACGTAAAAGGCACTGCTACAACCATCGCGATCTATTTTAAATACTCGTCATATTTGCAGCATCATGTGGATCCTGCCATTGGTGTTTACATTATAGATCGATACACTTATTATGCGTTAAACTTCTTGGAAAAAGTCGAACCATCTAGTACTAAAACATTGGGTGAATTTGTAAGTGTCTTACGTGCGCGCACTGTATGTACGCTCGCTGTACGGCCAACGTTTCCGTTTTCTTCTTTACCATCGTGCGTACGTGAGATTAATATCTTTTTCTTTGTTTTCAGTTGAAAGTATGTCCAAGAGATTATTGTCTATCTACAGTGGGTGTAAGAAGAGATTTGTTTAGAAGAGATCCAGATAAAGTACCAGTAACAGATTTTTTTGGCTCACTTAGGCCTGTAGAACTTACTGCGAACATAATGAATATTTTACCTGTTAAATCTAATCGTACAAAAACTCAAGAATCTGAAAACAAGTATAATTATGTTGCACAATTTCCCCAAGTATCTCAGTATACATGAGTAAAAAGAATAAACGAAATGTTTCTTGTGCATAAATACATTTAGTGTAATTTTAATTTGTTATTTGGAAAGATAATTATCTATAATAGAGAAGACGATGAAATCTAAATTATCCACGTCATTGTCACGTTGTGTGGTTGACCCGTCTCTGACTGCGAATGACGCGTAATGCACTCCTATCAATTTAGTGGAAAACAGGTTGCAGATGTGCATCTTTTATCTGTGGCTTCTAGTATCTCCTATATGTGTATGTAGTACATGCATACGTGACACAGCAAAAATTCCATACAAGTACTTGAGAGAGAGAGAGAGAGAGATCCATTTAACTGCGGCAAGTTTTATCGTTGCAAGCACACGTGTGACATACCAATGGCATATTATTGTCAACCAGGATTAATGCTCTCCAATATACGTATGTACATAATACCAATAGTATATATTTTGCTCAATTTGTCTCGCTTGAGATGTATATGAAAAACATAGTATCGTAATAATAGTCGCAGTCGCTGTTGCAGATGTGTGAAATTTACAAATTAAGAATATAACGTTTTAAAAGTGCCTGAGTTTGCAATATAAAGATTTATAAAAGAATTACCGATAATTTAACTTGAAAAATTTTCTAGCTGTTACACCGTAGCGCTACGTTAAGCGCAAGAGAATCTTCAATGAAGTAAATAGATTCACTTATACATTGATTACATATTTTATATCGGGTATGTGCACGATCCTATACAGCTTTACTATGATGAATAATCGTTTGGATGGATCATATGATAGAATGACTCTTATGGACTTAATTGTAAACACACATGCAAACAAATATTGTGCATTATTACAAAGAGGAAGAATGTGGAAAAATAACTTAATATTTGATTATATTTACATAAGAGATATACAGAGCGTAAAAACACATCTGTTTATTATGTTTCAGGCTGTATGACAAGTGGTAAGGTAACATCGTAGAAGCGTTACATAGCACGGTACTCTGTTACCGTTTATTATCGTTATAATTAGTGGCATCCGTCAACAAGATGTTTGTGATTACAACCATTGATTCGAGGATCGAAGACTGTTCCACTTGAGCACGTGAATTTTTGTATTTGGTAAACGCCATTGACATTGTAGCACAGATAGAATACGCTGCAATCTTGTTCATCGCGGACATAGCCTTCCTTCTTGCAAATACCACTGGGAGGTGCAGTCACCGGTGGTTGGGTCGTTTGCGGAGGTTGCGTCGTTTGCGGAGGTTGCGTCGTTTGCGGAGGTTGCTCAGTCGGCTTAGGCAGTTCTCCTCCCCTTAATCCGGCATTCAATGTTTTCAGCAGAGGATACTTTTCGCCGCAGTTGCCGAAAAAGTCGTCAGTCTCGATACTCCACAACATTGCGCCACCAAGACCCAAGGAGTTGATGTAGGCAGTTTTTTCAGTAAGAGAACTGCGTGCGTATGCGAAATTATTACATTTTATTAAGGGGAGTAGATTGAATGGATAGAAATTAAACGAGAAATACGTAAGAATTGTTTCGAGGTAGGTACACAAAACGATGCGAAAGAGTGAAAGAGAGGAGAGGAGAGCCAATTTAAGAGTACACTTACGTTACATCATCGTAGCCAACCCATTGATCGCCCTTGTAAGCGTATGGAGCGCGATGCTCTTGGTGACGAACAACGGTCCAGCCACCCTGCTTAAAGAACTCGCAGATCTCGTTGTATCCGAGCATTCCACGCTCGCGAGTGTACGGGCCGGCAGCAGCAGGTCCGGTGGTAGGTGCTCCAAGGCCGTTCTGACTCTTGTCGGCGAGAGTGAAGGCCCTACCGTAGAACGGCACCCCGAGGATTAGTTTCTCGGCCGGACAGCCACTGTCCAACCAATAGCGTACGGACGCGTCCTACGAGAATAAATTGTTTTTTTCCCCTTAGAAAAGCCGCCGCGCGCGTTCGTTTCCACCGAGAAATGTAATGACTGTCGAAAAACGTCCCTTTTCGGGGACGGGAGAAAAAGACTCACGACGTTAAGCTTAAGATCATTTCCAGACTCGTCCTTGCGCTTGTAAAGTGGAGCGTTGTGACCGGTTACTTTCTCCCAAGCGCCATGGAGATCATACGCCATAATGTTGATGAAGTGCAGATATTTGGACATTGCGGCGATATCGTAGGACTTGGAGGCGGAAGGCTCGGCAGCGGCGACGGCAGCACTGAGAATAAGTCCATGTTTATCGAATTCGGTTCTGAGTTCCTTGAGCACGCTTATATAGTTTTGCACATCCTCCGGCTTCCCACCACGCTGATTCGGGTACTCCCAATCGAAGTCGAAGCCATCGAAATTGTATTTCTTTACAAATTCAACGACGTTCTTGACGAATCGAGCACGAATAGTCGGATTTGCGACGACAGCCGAGTATTTGGCGGATCCCTCGTTCCATCCGCCGATAGCGATGAGCGTTTTCGTCTCGGGGCTCTGTTCGCGAAGCTTATTAAATCTGCCAAAGCCGTCCTTGCCCCAATTGTCGGGAAGATCTTGCCACGAATCTAAAACTCGGACGTCGCCTTCCGTACTAATGCCGACGAAAGTATAGATCAGGTGTGTGCAAAGATTCGGCTGAATGTAAGAAATGTCAAATTTGCCACCAGAAGGTCGGTAAACGGCCCAGCTACCGAAGTAGCATACAATCTTTTCTGAAAAAGATCAGCGAAACATATGTTACTGATTTACCGATTTGCTGTGGACGGGGAGAGGGGGAGCGGTCCTCTTCTTTTTAATCTTTAATCTGATTCGAATCTTTAATTGATATATATATGCATATATATACTTACTTTCCGAGTCGGCAGCCGAAGCCAAAGCAGCTAACGCCGCGAAAACGAGTATCCAACGATTCATCTGCAAAAACGCGAAGACGTCATCGTCATCGAGATGAACGTAAATCTATGTGAGACGCTTTACGTTCTTGAAATCTTTTTTTTTTTCTTTTACACTTTTAAAAGCATATAATATATATATTAAGCGCTGGATTAAACATCCATTAAGTACGTTTCGTTTCCCGCGATCCTATCCTATATACTTTTGGAAAATTGCGAAAATCATAGTCGAAAATCAAAAGCCAAGATCTCTACACGAGTCCGATAATCGCGGAGTACATTGTCCTTACCTCGTAATCAGGGTCAGCTCCTTCGATAGTACTTGGCAACGCAATACCAAAATTCCATTCGCGCACGCGATATATATAGATATATAGACATATACTGCATCAAAAGCAGTGCACGTTTTGTCTGTTTGATCATTATAATGCGATAAATGTAAATACAATTCATTCATGCGTACACAAATGTACATATAACATATACATCTAATTATTACCAAGATGAAAGGCTTTCGAAAAAACACAGGTGTGCGCGCTTACGACGTTACGTAATTTTGTTCGATAAATACTTGCTTCTATTGATTTTATTGATTAATCCGTAGATCTGATCCGGACACCTGTGCCATTCAGCCATTCTTGTCAAGTAGAAATACCTCGCGCGTATAAGAGTGCAGCGTGTGTTATTCAATGGAAATTAAATTCTCATGCACCTGATCCACTTGACTTATTGAACGCGCCGTACGCGCATAATGAGAAGGGTCAAAGGGATTATTCGATCAGCATTTTGTACTACAGAGATTATAATCGAACGTTCGGGTGTATCATTTATATTTCTGTACGTTCTCATCCTTATCCCTTAGTTGGCTCGCCACCACTTCTCTTTTGCTGCGTTATGTCGTCGCAAACGTCTGCCACGTAAATATCCCGCGAGTACAAAACATTAATTATCCGATATCATTGTATAAATTTGCATTCGATTTCACGTACCAAGTAATACGTCAACAAATTGTGCCTAACGAGTATGTGAATAACGCACAGATCGCAATACGCGGTGTATACGTGGTAAAAACAGTGATGAAGAGAGGGAGAGAAGGAGAGAAGATCGATGTACATATTTATATTGTATTAAATCGCAAATAAGGCAAGTAAGGCGTCATTGGTGATGGCATGCATTTTAGATGAGATAATGCATATATTATATAATTTGATAAGCGCATATAGCCAACGACGTAACGGCTAGAAGCTAGAGCAGGATGGAATGTAGAATCCAGTTACAAATTCTTGGCCCTCCTTCGATCGTTCGGTCCTCAAACTTTGTACTGTGAAAAATCTTTTGTGTGAAAAGGCCGTATGAAAAGCGATACGGCCACGGTGACGATACAGAATACGAAAACGATATATTAATTACCTTGAAATTAATTGCTATATACTTAGTCGCCAGACAGTTTCTTCGTTAGAGACCGATTACAATGGATACAACGAATAGCACAGGCCTGCCCGACGTTACAACAACCTGTCCCAGTTGATAAAATACTCGTACAGAAGAAAGATTCATCGGCGTGGTCTTTTTATGTACCTAGATATCTTCCTAATAGGATATTTTTTCAATAGCTAAAACAACGAAATGTTAAATCACTTAATCGTGATAACACTTTGTCGTGTACTTTCTCATCATTGGTCGTACGGGTCGTACAACACTCACGTTATCAGTAATGACTAATGACGAACCCATTCTCACGTAACAGCTGAATACTACCAATGGTGAGTAAGCTCGTTGCCATGTATTTAATTTAAGAAAGACGCTTATCACTTTAACGACTTTGATCATGCTTCAGATAAACCATTCTAATATTCTAATGGTGATCGATCTCGCCCTAGTCCTCGACGACTACAACGATAAGCTATCTGCTACAAGATAAGCAAGTAAGTAAATGACGCGATGCATCTGCGCGCGTGGAACGTGATCAGCTTCTCAAGACAGGTGCGTTAACAACCAACGACGGAACGCTATTTCATCTGACTTTTATTTGTCATTTTTATCAGCTCTTATGTCGATTTACATTTTTACATTTTTCATGAACAAGTAAAAATTTTCGGCGCTCTTCTAAGATTATGTGTTAAACAGCACTACTTTTACGAAATTAGTTAAAACTTTCTAGTTGTACGTTCCTTATTGTTTCTCCTTAATCCAAGTAATCGCAACCTTCTCCAATACTGTTTTGTATTTGGATCCAATTCTTCCAAAGGTGGTGGGGGGCCAGTTCTGATGTTCCACAGCCAACTAGGATATTCGGAATCTGACTTTAACTCGACATCTTCTCCTCCCTCTTTGTAGATATTTGTACCGCACACATGAGTCAAGAGCCGGTTAACATCCGTTTCAACGGGTAATACTTTTTTTTCTATCGCAACCAATGTCTTCTTTGATTTCTTCACTCCCGGTCGGATCGCTAGAAAAAGTAAAAGGCGTAACTTTATCACAAACGTTACGTATACATTTTTTATTTCAATCTAACGCACATTTTTAACACACGTGTAGCTGTTGCTGTAGCCAGCTGTAACCAATATAGTGATAAACGATAAACCTTTGTTATATCGGTCATTCGCGCCGCGTACATATACACGTAAGCTACGGTCCACTTCTCCTTCTTTCTTCATTGAAAGATTGAAATGTCAAGTGGACCGCACTGACCGCAGCCACACGATCGATCGAGGCTGAAATGCTTTGAAGCATTTCTTTTCTCCTTTCTTTCAATGAAGAAAGAAGGAGAAGAAGAACACTTCGAAGCATTTGTAGCGTCAAATGGACCGCAGCCCGAGTTACACACATAACCTCACGTCTCGATGTGGCGAATGATCGGCAGGTTTGATGAACGATGAAACGTACGACGCGATGCAACGATAACTTTCTAATCTCTTACCTGGTCCAGCGTATTCTTTCGTTTGTATCGTGTATCGAGCCGGTATTATGGAGTTTCTTGGCAAACGGAAAAGCCGGTAAACAACGGCGAGACTCATCGTGCGCGGTACTTGCGTTGCGTAGCGCCGTAGGCCGTAGGCTTTAGGCTGAGTTTCCACCACATTTCCACTGATCGCGCGTCACGCGTCGCGTCATCATAAGTTAACCAATCAAAACATCCCATTATGATTCCGTCGTCACAAGTAATTTAATAAAATGGGATGTTTTGATTGGTTAACTTGTGATGACGCGACGCGTGACGCGCTCAGTGGCAACTCAGCCTTAAGCCTTGTATACACAGTAGCAGGTGCTAGAACACGGTCCGAGTTTTGGTTTAAGCCACGCAACTTGCAGCTCTTACAGAAAAGTAGCAGTTTCATTGGCTTAAACCGAAACTCGGACAAAGTTCTAGCATCGTGTATACAAGGCTTTAAAAGGGTCGGCAGGAGTCACGGTAGAGACCTTTGTCGGGTTGGGTTAGCTGTGAGTCCGTATTTTATTTATTATAAATTTTTAAGAGCCAAAATGGAAAATCCGGCTCTGTTCCGAGTTGCAGCTGATCTTACTGATTAAAACGAGCATAATTTTAATGAAATTCGTTAATTACGTTGGCTAAAATTTGGGAAAAACAAATCCGTACGTCGACATACTATATGTCGGCCGGCCGGCAGTTTTTCCCAAATTTTAGCCAACGTACGTAACAAATCTCATTAAAATTATGCTCGTTTTAATCAGCAAGATTAGCCGCAACCCGGTACAGAGCCGGATTTTCCATTTTGACTCTTAAAAATTTATAATAATTTATTAAAATACGGACTCGAAGCTAACTCAACCCAACAAAACGTTTTGCATTTAAAATGAAATAAATATATATTCAGGCGTTGGAGAGAAAGAAAGCAAAGATTCTGAGTGCAAAAAGTTCCAGCAACACGAACAGACCTAATAACTGGCAATCGACAATCAATTAATTATACTTTTCAACTAGCAGTTGCCATCGTTTGCGACGTATTGGGCGCGTTCAGCAGACCAAGCCGCTTGAGTAGCTGTCAAACGTGCGTGGCTCTTATTTTTAGAACCAACCACGCAACGCAGAGTGTTGATAAGACGAACTCAACAGTTGTGTGTTGTGTCTGCTGAACGCGGCCGCGGCCATTGTAAAACGGCCCTTACTTCTAGGGACTCTAGAGTGGACGCGGCTACGACCGCTATGACCTACGACGGCGGACCGGCAAACTCGGATGGACAGCTACGCTCACCGCTCACGGCTGGTCACAGCTGGTCACGGCCACGGCATCACGACTCACGACACATGTGACATGTGACATGAAACGAATTTATGCGACAATGACAAGCTCGAGATATCGCTTTTGTCTCGACGTCGTGGATAAAGTCTTTAACTAGGGCGTCTAGGATTTAGGATTCGCGATTAGTATTTGGCAATTAAAGTACACCGCAAAAATGTGAAGCGCTGCCAAATGTTTGATACGAGATACGCGGTTCATTCCGCTTGGTTATGTACTTAATGCCATTGAGCAACGATACTTCGACACGGGTAAGAGTCGTATGATATTTTAAAATATGAGATTCGAAGCAGTTACTGTAATTCGAATAAACGAATAACGTTTCTGCTCGAAAGGTAAAGGGCCAACGTGACTCTTTGACAAAATTTTTTGGTGTTTTTAATCCGTTGTAGTCACGTAGTTAACGTAGTAGAAAGGGGGACGGGTGGAGCTTTACTCTAACCTGTGAGGAAAGCAGTCCCTTTCCCTTATTTCTTCCTCTTCTTCTTTTCTTCTTTTCTTCTTCACCTAATGATAACATGTAGCGACCTGTTCACCGCGTTTTTTGCAGACGAGAAAAATATTATTTGATGCGAAAAGTGAATCGGCTATTCGAGGTAGGGTTCCAGAGGAGAATCAGTTTTTGACAATAGCTGCTGCTTTACCCATTTTGCCGGGTGCCCCAGTACCTCCAAAGCTGTCGAAGCATTGTTACAATTCATTTAGGTAATATGCTTTAGACTAGAGGATGAAATAGCAAAGTTTTAGTCAGTCAAGTTTTATTCGACACAAATTGTCTCGGTTGTTCTTACGTTGGAAATCATTGGTTTGATATTGCTAGTTGTACTGGAACCCAATTTGAAATTGAACATGCAGAAGCTGAAGGATGCGACGCGGTTACGTTACAATGGACAGGAGATGCAAGAACAATCGTGGCATCGAGAACTCCTGCCGAACGAGAAAAGAACCCTGACAGAATATGCCTTGATAGGCGAGGTCTGACAACGTTTCCTACAATGATCGGAGAATCCAAATTGCGATTAATGTCTCTCCAGCATAATCTACTAACCAAGATTGAGAGCTCCAACTTTTCACAATTGACAAAGCTTGTATTTCTTGATTTGTATGATAATCAAATTGAGAAAGTATGCGATTTTGATTTTTTAGAGAACCTAAGAGTGCTTTTATTAGGGAAAAATAGAATAAGAAAAATTGAAGGCTTAAAACAACTTTTGAAATTGGAAGTTTTGGATTTGCATGGCAATCAAATTCAGCATATTACGGGCTTAGAGAATTTATCGTCGTTGAAAGTACTAAACTTGGCGGGGAATAATATCAAAACTATAGGATGCAATGATTTTCGAGGCTTAATCTCGTTAAAAGAACTAAATTTACGTCGGAATAAGCTCAAAAGATTGCTAGGATTTGACGAGACACCACAATTACAGAAATTATATTTGAGTAACAACGATATTTATAAGTGAGTATCTTGACTAGTAAGTTTTATTTAGTTTGTAGTAAAATCTTTTTATTCAATTTACCTGCACATGCTTACTTAACTTGAAAGTTTTACTTTAAAGGATGTTGGTCTCTATGCATATGCAAACTTAATACATATTGTAAATTGTAATTTGGAAGTACATCTCTTGCATTTTTTAATCTATAAAAGAATGATATTCAAATGTTTTCTTCCTGATGATTTATTTTATAAGTGAATTGTTTGGTGTAATACAGTAATAAGCACGTGTGTATGTACGTATGTATATATATATATATATACATAGGTCGAGTTGTTTTGATGTTTCAGAATTGAAGATATGAGTAGCCTTGCAAAAGCCTTGCAAATTAAAGAAATAACAATAGATGGCAATCCAGTGACCTTGAATACCGATTATATATCCTTTCTTGTTTCGTACTTGCCAAATTTGCAACTTTTATCGACAATGCAAATTAGTGAACAAATTCGGAGAACAGCAATGGCTTGGAGATTCTCTAAGGAACAATCAAATTCAGCATTCCTTGATCTTAGTACACAAGTTTGTATGAGCGTACGTAGAGAAGAAGTGATATCGAATGCTAAAACAAATTGGGAATTTCTCAGATCTAGAACTAAAGTCTCGCTCGATAATTCAAATAAAGTGACGAGCGATAATACAGGCAATAATATCAATATGTTATTACGCACGCAAAGTTTAAATAAATTTAATGCTATAAATCCAAAGAGTTTAAACAAAGTTAAAATAAAAGGTTTTGGTAGTCTCACATCGATAAGTGAAAATATGGAAGCACGAAAGATGCATATAAAAAAGAGAAGCAGTTCCAGCGAAAATTTGTTTAAATTAGAAGATACATCCAAATCGTATCCTTTGGAATTTAAACTTCCCCCTATACTAGGCTCGATAGTAAATAGTTTGACGAGCGATAGATTCGAGAATAAATTGCCCAAGAATAATAAAGATAATGACCGTAAGATGAAAGTGCTTGGTGAACAAATGGAGAACGTATCGGATAGCGAGACAGACAGCTCACAGAGTCACGAAAGTTTAAAAAGTGGTTTAAAATGTCATTTGTTTACTCCCAATATCTACGTCTCGTCTATAAATTATGACAAATCTGCCGCCTGTAATGAATTTACCGCAGGTGTAGTAAAGGACGTGTCCTCGATTACCGTAGACAACGGTTTTTATGTTAAAGATAATGAAAACCATGCACGCGATAAGGAAGCACTGGCTACAACTCAAAATTCCTTAAAATATCATGACGCAGTAATAAATGAAAACAAAGGCTTAAATAATAGATCGTTTCAAAATACAAAAGTATTTCATGGTCAAGATGGACAGAATGATTGCCAATCAAAGTCGATTACATGTTCTTCTGGATATTGCTCTTTAAGTTCAAAGACTAGTAGCGTAGACAGCTGTAAGTCATTGTTAAGTGATTCTAGCACTTCATCGATTCCTAAGAACGCTCACAAATCTCACGAATGTGACAAGGATAAAAGTAGGATTAAAAGTGCTCAAACAAAAAAGATAGTATACTATAAAAGCAATAGAGCTGCGACAGCTAGAGCGAAATTTAGAGCTCTTGCTCCGCCAAGTCCACCTCCTCAGCAAGTACCACCTAAAGAAAGAGAACAGGGTAAGCTAACAATGAGATCTGCTATTTTTTCAAACAATTTACTCTTACATGGTCTCGTTTAAAATGAAATGTAATAATGAGAGACAACTTTCTAGGCGGAGATTATTTAATAGAAATTGTTGGCCGCTGCCTGAATATATATGGTCAAGGTGCTTTACGCTTTATAGATAGGACTTGGGACATGTCAAAGGCTCAAGATGTCAACATTGTGAAATTTAATTACGTACAATTTAATGACGTGGCAAAAATTTTAAGCAAATTAAAGAATAGATTTCCTCATGCGGAACATTTCGTATTTAAAGAAACTAACATCAATCTTCTTGGTCAACTGAATGCCTTAGCTGAGGTACAGGGATTGACTAGCATACAAATAGACGCAGGAAATCCTATTGTGTCTAAGGACTGGAAAATGTACGCTATATTTCGATTAGCTCATTGGGGACTCGTAGCTATCAATGGCAAGGAGGTACAATATGAGATTTATAAAATAATAAATTGTTTAACGAAACAACGTAAAACACACACACACACACACACACACACACACACACACACACACACACAC